GCTGCCTCAAATGTCGCACACGCCGAGAATCTCCTCTTTGCTTCCCGCTAGAGCAGCGAGCGAGCCCCCGTTGCTCCTTGGCGGTCACCGCTTGAGTCCCCTGCCAAGGAGTTTTGATGTGACTCTAACGAAGAAAGGACGTGATGCTACCGAATGTGCTAGAAGAGGGAGAGTTACTGTACGGTCGATGCAGTACAATCGGCTTGGCGCGTCTGACCTGGTGGTGTCTCGGATTTGCCTTGGGACCATGCAGTTCGGAGAAGCGCTGAGGTGAGTGTGACTGTAACGCGAGTGCCTGTTAGTGACTGTTACGCGAGTGACTGTCACGCGTTTGACTACCACGAGGCATTTGAGTCGAGAAATGGCACTCGAGTCGACTCGAAACCCCCTCAACCCGCCAAGCTTCCCAAGGTCTCCAGCCACCAGGAGGCAGCCGCACAGTTAGGGAGTTCGGTAGAGGGAGGATTGACTCACTAAAACGAAAAGCTTTAGTTAAAGCCCTTTCTTCACTCGTGTCGTCACCTCCCTCACACCCTCACATCCTCCAGCCATCCCTTGTTTCCAGTTGCCAGGAGGCAGCAGTGCAGCTAGGCAGGGCGGTGGAGGGATGGGTGAGCTTCGTTGATGATGGGTCGCAGCCCCACTTGCTCATGTCCCCCTGCTTTCAACGCCCTGATCATTATTCCAGTTACCAGGAGGCAGCAGCGCAGCTAAGGAGGGCGGTGGAGGGAGGGGTGAACTTCTTTGACACGGCTGAGATGTACCCTGTGCCGCAGAGGCAAGAGACTCAGGTGATTGACTGAAACCGTTAAGACGACTGAGACTGACTATCGAGGTGACTCAAAGAAGTCTCTGCTGTGAGCTTGTTGGATACAGCTGAGATGTACCCTGTGCCGCAGAGGCGAAAGACTCCGGTAACATTTACTGGCTCTGTTTGACTTGTTGAGTCGCCTCGAAAGTCAGTTCGGGAGAGGGGTGAACTTTCGTCATACAGCTGAGATGTACCCTGTTCCGCAGAGGCAAGAGGCACAGGTGACTTTCGAGTTAACTATTTCCTTGAAAGGGCATTATAGATGATTGAAGTTGACTAATGTAATGACAATTTTATCATTTGAGCTGACTGAAAAAGGGTTGTTAAGTGGCTGGAGAATGTCTTTTCACATGTTTTGATCTGTGATTGCGAGTATCTACCTTCTGCCTGCTCCCTTAGTTTCTCATCGCACAACGATCAGGCCTACTTTTCTCCACTCCTGCACCCTCTCTCTTTTGAGTCGACTCAAAGATTACTTTTGAGTCGATTCAAGAGTATCTGTCTCTTGCCTGCCTGCGCCATAAGTCCCTTATCTCATCAGCATCAAACCTACGTTTCTCCTCTCCTCCATGCTCTCGTTACTGCCAGGGTTTAAGCGAGGCTTATCTGGGTCGGTGGATGGCAACTTCTGGCATTCCAAGGGACAAACTCGTTGTGGCCACCAAGGTGGGCTTTAAGGGGCTGTAAATGCAATATCTTCGTGCTGGCTTAGGAGGGCTTGGTTGATTTAGGTCTGCTGAACAATACTTTTGGGCGTCAACTGACATGCTTGAAGTCTAGCATTTGAGGCGCCTCAAGACCGTTTCTTTTAGCTTCAAGTGAGAAAGAGGTGTAGGTCTCAACACCGCTGGCCTATTATCGCTCTTTCTGTGTTATGAGGCTATTTTTGAGTTGACTAAATAATAGGTTCATAACACACGGCTTCAACTGGCATAGAGACGTATGTGTCAACGCCTCTGGTTCACGCTCTCTTCTTCTCCCTGTTGCTCATTCCCATCCCTCCCCTATCATCACCATCGCTCTCCCAGGTAGCGCTCTCCCAGGTAGCGCTCTCCCAGGTAGCGGGCCCTTGGCCCCAAATGAACTGGATCAGAGGGGGGCACTTCCGCATACAACCCCCATCGCTATATTTTCCGTCTCGCCCCTCTTCTCTCCCGTTTCCCACCAGAAATATTTCAGGTGGCAGGCCCGTCCGCCCAGATGACTTGGATCAGAGGGGACCCTCTAGTCTGGACCCCGCTAACATCACATCCGCCATAGACACGAGTCTGCAGCGGCTGGGGTGTGACTATATCGATCTGCTGCAGCTGCACTGGCCAGACCGATACGTGCCCATGTTTGGCGACTGGGAGTTTGACCCGCGCTGTGACTATAACGAGTACAGCCCGTTTGAGGCTCAGCTGGAGGCGCTGGGGAGAGCCGTGGAAGCAGGTAGGCCTGCTTCTTTTCTTTCCTATGAATGAAAAGAAGAGTTTCGGCTGTGGTGGTGGGGTGGCTTTTGAGACGACTCAAAAGTCAGCCGTGGAAGCAGGTAGGAAGACTCCTTCTTTTCGTTCTTAGGAAAGAAAAGAAGAGTTTCCGCTGTAGGTGACTTTTGAGTCGACTCAAAAGTCGCTGTAGGTGACTTTTGACTCAAAAGTCGCTGTGGTGGTGGGGAACGAACAACTGGAGGCACCACCTTTCCCCCGTCTCCTCCTCTGTGCTCCGTGCTCCGTGCTCCAACCATCCTGTCCCTCCTACTCTTGGTGACTTTTGAGTCCACTCAAAAGGCGCCACCTTTCCTCCTTCTCCACCACTCTCCTTCGTGCTCGAAGTATCCGTTCCCTCTTACTCTTCACCCCAATTCAGGTTAGTTTGGTGGACCTAAAAAAATTACCTGCTCCCTCCTAGTCCTCACGCCACTTCTCCCCGTTTCTCCCGTCCTACATTCCCCGTCCATCCCCCTCTTCTCTCCCATCCCAGGCAAGGTGCGGTATGTTGGACTCAGCAATGAGACAGCGTGGGGCTTGGGGAAGTTCCTGGAAGCTGCCAGCCGTGCACCTGGTGCTCTCTCCTCCTCCTCCTCCTCCTCCTCCTCCTCCTCTCCTCCTCCTCCTCTCCTCCTCCCCGCTCCTCCCTCGCCCCGTATCCCTGCAAAACGCCTACTCGCTGCTGTGCCGCACCTTTGATTCAACACTAGCTGAAGCATGCCACCACGAGGCTATCCCTCTCCTCGCCTACAGCCCTCTGGCCATGGGGCTGCTCTCAGGAAAATACCACTGCTCTCTTCCGGCGAATATCTCACGCAACGACCAGCCGTATCCTTCTGACAGGGACCGCCGCGCCCCCCTCAGTGATCTTGAATCCGAGAAGTTTAACCGTGCAATGCCCCAACCAGCCGCAGAGGCGGATGCTGTTTCCAGCTCAGCACTGGCCGACCATGATGATGCCACGCCAGCAAGCGACCGTCCGACGTCAGCAAACGCTGCCACACCTGCGGTCGACGCGGCACAGGTACTTGCCGGGTCGCTAGGATTGCACCAGGGCTCCAACAACGAGAACATAATCTTCCAAGATCCCTCCTGGCGCTTAGTTAAGTACCGGGGCCGGTATGCAGAGGCCGAGGGAAGATACCCGGTTGACAACCCCCGGGTGGCGACAGCTGTCAGGGCGTACGCTGAAGTGGCGAGGCAGTTCCAGCTGTCACCTGTCCAGCTGGCAATATCGTTCGTGCTGGCGCATCCACTGGTGGGAGCAGCGGTTGTGGGTGCATCGTCTATGGATCAGCTGGAGGAGATTCTGTCGGTTGTGGGGAAGGGGAGTGAGGGGGGAGGGGATAGCGTATACCGATGAAATGAGAGCGGCGGTTGATGCCGTTCATGCTGTGCTGCCCAACCCCACTCCTTGAGCACGTGAATCCCAACGCCTGGTGGGAGCACCGGTTGTGGGTGCATTGTCTTTGGAGCAGCTGGAGGGGATTCTGTCGGTTGTGGGGAAGGGGAGGGAGGGGCGAGGGGATAGAGTACACAGAGGAGATGAGGGCGGCAGGAGTTGACGCTGGTCATGCCGTGCTGCCCAGCCCCACTCCTTGATTCATGAAGGCAGCGCTTGTGAGTGCTTCGTCTTTGGAGCACCAGGTGGAGATTCTGTTGGTTGGGGGAAGGGGGGCTTTAGAGTCGATTCAAATGCAGCGCTTGTGGGCGCTTCGTGCTTGGAGCAGCTGGAGGAGATTCCGTCCGTTGTGGGGGAAGGTTGGGGGGTATCGGGGAGGAGATTGCGTTTTCTGCAGAAATGAGGGCAGCAGTTGACGCTGTTCATGCTGTGCTGCCAAACCCCACCCCGTAGTAGCCTATAGACACCGTTCTTTCTTGGAAAGGGGGAGGCAGCGGAGAGGGTATAGGTTGGCAAGATGAGATGAGGGAAGCAGTTAGCGCCGTTCATGCTGTGCGGCCGGATCCCACCCTTAGGCCTTGATGCCTTCAAGGGCGCTGTGTTATGTTGGAAGTGGCGGGAGTGGAATTGAAAGCGGAGCAGACGCTGTAGGGAGTTTGCGGATGAGGCGTTGAATGCATGCTGTGCTGTTGAATTAGTGGCGTTGTGCCAGCGCATCCCCCACGGAGTTGGTGCTGCTGTTAGCTTAGCTGCCTCCTCGTCATACCCTCTGCTGTTAGCTTAGCTACCTCCTCGTCATACCCTCAGCTGTTAGTTGGTGCGCACTTTGATGATGCAGGAATGTAGTAGAAACCAAAACACACTACTGGATATTATGTGAGCGAATCACACAGAAGTATGTAAAATGGCAGCTGTTGTGTTCAAAGCACTCCAAACCCATCCCAGTTACACTATCTGCGGGTTGTCTGCCAGCAATACTCTGATCACCTCCCCTGTTCTTGTAACGAGTGTGCTGTTAGTGAAACCCTTGCCAGCACGGCAACTGCAGCTGCATCCACCCCTAGCCTCTGGAGCGCCAAACTCATTGCCCACACTGCTACGGCCATCAGAATCACCCTACCGTATGCTACTGTTCACCACTCAACTCCCTCGTTCTTGTAGCGAGTGTGCTGCTAGCGAGACCCCTGCCAGCTGGCAACTGCAGCTGTTTCCACCCTTAGTCTCTGCAGGCCCAGACTCACTGGCTGCGCCCCCGCTGCCACCAGCAGCATCACTCTAGTACGCGCTACTGATTGCCATGCAACTCTACCTGTTCTAATAACGAGTGTGCTACTAGCGAGACCCCTGTCAGCTGGCAACTGCAGCTGTTTCCACCCTTAGTCTCTGCAGGCCCAGACTCACTGGCGGCACCCCCGCTGCCACCAGCAGCATCACTCTAGTACGCGCTACTGATTGCCATGCAACTCTACCTGTTCTAACAACGAGTGTGCTACTAGCGAGACCCCTGCCAGCATGGCAACAGCAGCTGTCTCCACCCGTAGTCTCTGCAGGCCCAAGCTCACTGGCTGTGCCCCTGCTGCCACCAGCGCTTCTAGTTCGGAAGGGGTGAAGTCTGGGGGATGGGTGGATGAGGGAGGGAGGCAGTCAGGGAGAGTGGGGGTGAACTCTCCTCTTTATCTCGGCAGGCCCAAGCTCACCGGCTGCGCTCCCGCTGCCTTTAGAGCTTCTATTTCTCACAGGGTGAAGTCTGGGGGATGGTCGGTGGAGAAAATGCAATTACAGAGGATTTTTTGTGTGTATATGTGTGTGTCTGGGTGTGTGTGTGGAGCGTGTGCATGTGTGTGTGTGTGTGTGTGTGCATGTGTGTGCGCGTGCATGTGTGTGCATGTGTGTGCGTGTGTGTGTGTTGTGTGTGTGTGTGTGTGTGTTGTGTGTGTGTGTGTGTGTGCACGAGCGCACGTGCGTGTGTGTGATCTGTTCTGCTGTGCTTTTGGTTTTGAGATGTCTCATCAGTAGCCACACAAATGGCTGGGTGTAGCCGGTCAATACGTAAGCAGGCGGCCTGTGAGTGGCGCAGGTCTGGGAGCAAGCGACTGGGTCAGAGGCGACCGGGTCAGAAGCGACCGGGTCAGATGCGAGCCGGTTGAATGAAATGAGAATCTCAAGCCGCTTGAAGCACACAGCTCACCTCCCTCTGGTCCCACTATAAGCAGCCCCCCTCTTTGCACCAAGGACGGATCCACAGCCCCTAGTGCTGCCAGCAGCGGTGGCGAGTTGGGGGCTCCCAGCAGGGCAATGGGAGACTGCTGAATCTGCAGCAGGGGAGGGGGAAAGGGGGAGGGGGGAGGGGGAGGAGGGAGGAGGGGAGGAATAGAAGAGAGTGTATCGCCAGATTTGAAGGCAGGACCCACTGCTTTTATTGCTGCCAGCCATGGTGGGACGCATGGTGCTCCCAGCAGGGCAATGGAAGACATCGAGACTGAGGGGAGAAAGAAGTCAGGAGGGCATTAATTCTGCAGCTGGGCGAGCATCAAATCCACTCAGCAGCGAAAAGGGAGACTGTTGCATCTGTAAACAAGGCAGCATTGAGAGATGGTATGGAGCTGAATAGTTGATAAAAGGAACCCTTTGTCACAGCATCAATTTTGTCTGCTTAGTTGGACAAATGAGTGGTTCATTCGGCGCACCTAAAAGGAGCCCACCTGCTTTGCTAGACCGCTGACGGATGTGAAGTCGTGGATAAGAGGACGATGAAGAGACTGGCCTGGAGAAGGGCAGGGAGGGCAAGGAGGGCAAGGAGGGGGAGGGCAGGGAGGGCAAGGAGGGCAGGGAGGGCAGGGAGGGCAGGGAGGGCAAGGAGGGCAGGGAGGGCAGGGAGGGCAGGGAGGGCAAGGAGGGCAGGGAGGGCAAGGAGGGGAAGCAGAAAGAGAATATAAACCAGGGGGAAAACAGGTAACCAGCTCCAGAAAAACATTAATTTGCATAAAGGAAAAAGGGATAATTAATTTGATAAGGCGAACTAGGACTCCATTGTCTGTAAGTAGGCAGTGCAGTATGCGTGCATGCATGGATACATGCATGGTTGCGCGTGCATGCATGGCGAGGTGTGAGCATGCATGGCGAGGTGTGAGCATGCATGGCGAGGTGTGAGCATGCATGGCGAGGTGTGAGCATGCATGGCGAGGTGTGAGCATGCATGGCGAGGTGTGAGCATGCATGGCGAGGTGTGAGCATGCATGGCGAGGTGTGAGCATGCATGGCGAGGTGTGAGCATGCATGGCGAGGTGTGAGCATGCATGGCGAGGTGTGAGCATGCATGGCGAGGTGTGAGCATGCATGGAGAGGTGTGAGCATGCATGGAGAGGTGTGAGCATGCATGGAGAGGTGTGAGCATGCACATAGTCAGGAAAAACACCCTTCTCCTCCCCTCCCCCCTTCCCCAGCGCCAGCAACACCCTTCTCCTCACTCTGCTCAGCAGCAGCCAGCGCCAAACTTTCTCATCTGTCCACCCGCCTCTCCCCCAGGCTCTCCCCCCCCCGCACTGTGTGTGCACACACACATGCACTCTCTCCCTCAATCTCACACTCACACTCTTCTCCTCACCTTCGTTAGCAGCAGCCAGTGCCACTCTCTCCCGTCCCTCCAACTGCCCCTCCCCCCACTCCCGGCTTTTTTTGTCATAAAATATACCCTCACGCACACCCAGTTTGCACACCACAGTTGCACACCCACACTCTCTCTCTCTTCTCTCACACTCACTCTGCTTACAGCAGCCAGCGCCACTCGCTCCCATCTGTCCACCCGCCCCTCCCCCTTCCCCCCAGATCGCTCTGTCACTAGGGAATGAACGCGCGTGCACCCAGCTCCTGTTTGGATAAAATTAGGGACGAACTGAGTTTGGAAGGTAAAAACCGCGTGTAATGAGTCTGCTTTTGAGTCGACTCAAAAAGCGCACGTGCACCCAGCTCCGCTTGGATAAATCAGTTCGGGAAGGGGCCGAACTGAGTTTGGAAGGGCTTGGCGTCTAATTTGAGGCGCCTCAAAAATAAATCCCACGTGCACCCAACTCCTGTTTTTGAATAATGCCAGAATAGGTTTGGGTTGGACGAAGTGCGTTTGAAGGGGAAAGGGTGTGGGGCGCGTGAGGGCGAATAGGAGTAATTAAATAGGTTGAAACGGATTTGAGAAGGAGAATCGTCTCAAAGAAGTTACTAGTGCAGCATGGATGTGGATGTGGTTGTGCATGTATGTGATTGTGCATGGATGTGGTTGTGCATGTATGTGATTGTGCATGGATGTGGTTGTGCATGTATGTGATTGGTGCACGGATGTGTTTGTGCATGGATGTGATTGTGCATGGATGTGTTTGTGCATGTGCCATGCAGGAAACCCATATAGTGAACTTCACGAACCGTTCCTGACCATCCATTTCTCAATCAGCCAGTCACCACCGTCCAGTTCTCTATCAGCCAATCCCCACCGTGCATTTCTCAATCAGCCAATCAGAACGGCCGCCCTTGAGCGTGCCACATGCTGCCACCACCGTCCACTGGGGCCGAAGAAAGGAACCTTCCTGGAAGCTTCCGTGGCGATAAGAACGAGGCCCTGCTGGCGGTCAATCGACTCCAATCGGACGGTCACGATTGATCCTTGGCCGTCAAATAGCTCCGCTCTGTTGGATGAAGGGAGAAGGGAGGAGGGGAGGGAGAGGAGGAAGGCGTGGTGGTGAAAAGGTGGAAAAAGAGTTTGAGTGGATGTGAACGACGTAAAACGGAATGACATATGCACAAGTCAAGTCACCAATGACAAGACGGGTTTCGTCGGCAGACTGAAAAGTGGAACTAAATGCCAAATGAAATTGAATACACACACAAAACTCAATGTGAGTCTGAATACCCACGAGTCACCGGGTCGAAGGCGTAGCGAGCGAGTCATGTGCGACGCCTCCGAGCCCACCAATCGCAGAGCACTGCCCTGCCAGCATGGCACATTGCCACGTCATCAGGTGCCTGGTCATGCCACGTGTAGCGTCCAGTTCTTTAGGCTTTAACTGCAGACCTTCTCATAAAAAAGGAACACACGGTGATGCCACGTGGCGTCATGTATGCCAGAAATGTGTCCTCGATATAGGGCTCCTCACCATTAGCTGAGGCAAAGTCGGGGAGAAGAAACGCGGGAGACCGGAGGAGAAAGGGGAATAGCCGCTAGGAGGGGAAGACGGCGGGGAGGACAAAGGAGCGGGAGGAGACGAGGGAGAGGGGAAGACGAGGCAGGGGGAGGAGACGAGGCAGGGGGAGGAGACGAGGATGAGTGCTCTGCTCTTGCAGCGCTCACAGCCCTCTCTCCCATTCGTTGACGCGACACCGTGTTGGCCACCCATCAGCTGCCGTTGCCAACTGACAGATCCCAAAACTGGAGAGTTCATCCAGACGATTCTTGCTGCTAGGATGAACGAGACTGCGGTTACCAGGCTCAACGAAACGAGCGCGCGCTGCACTTGTCGCACGGGGCTGTCGCTGACAAGTGAAGGAGGACGCAAGACGGACCAAGCGATTGGGCTTGGCCGGACCTAGGGTTCTACGCCGGGAGTCGCGGCCGTTTCTCAAGGCGTTCCTGGCGCTTTCGGCAGTAATTATCGCCGAGGACCGTCGTAAAACGCGAGTCTCGACTGACCGAGCCAGAGTTCCCGCGACCGCCATTGCCACGTACAGTGTGAATTAGGAGTCGAGAATAATGATAATAATCATAATAAGTACGTCTTACGAATCTCGGCTCGGCGTGGAACTCATCGTACGGAATGACTGGGTCGTACTCGGTACAATCTCTTCGCCTCGCCAGTAGTTTACCGAAACCATTTCGAAAATGCATTGGGACTGCACCTGTGATGATAAACGAGGATTACAATATCGAGTAATTCAGGCTCCAGGAAGTCAAAACGACAGGACCTCTATTGACGGCATTTTGAGGACCCAGTTAGATTGAGTGATCCGGTAGTTGTCTCAGACTCGTCATATCGAAGTGCGTATATTTCGGAGAGTGAAACGCGTATCACAGCGCATATTTGGTTGGTCAGTGTCGAGAAAGTATCATGCATTTCATAGTCTCAGTCAGGAAGTTCAGCTATAAGTCGTGTTAGATACGCGCCTCAGATAATTTTGAAACAAATTAATACGGTGTACAGCTGGTTCGCCTGAGACTCCCAAGGTACTGTAGTCGATTCCCATCAGCATCCATTCCCAAAAGATCAGCCTGACAAGCTCGGCCTGACAAGTTCGACTCGCCACTCTTCACTATTTGTGAAGAAGCTACCCCCACTTTCAGAGCCGAGCTGCTTATTATTCTTGTGCCAGGCTTTAGGATTGGCGGCTGCTGTAAGACTTAGACGGGTCTAAGTAGGCTGTTTTTTGGCTGGGTCTTTCAGTCCAGTCGCCATTCTTCCTGCATTGCGCCTGCGCTGTACGCCATATGATCGTGCTCCATTATTACATTCGGAGGCTGAAGCAGTTTTTGCTGCAGCACGGGCTCTGCTAAGCAGCCCTTTTTGCCTCAGCACGGAGGTTGACGCCAATCTCCTACCGCACTGAAGCAGGCGAACGAGATCTGAAGCATAATTCTGTTCCCTCCGCCACGTCATTCAAGCACCATCAGCAGGATTGAAGGGCTAGAGCACCATCAGAGCAGCATTAGGAGGGTTGAAGGGCTAATAGAGCACCATCAGTCTCGTTTGATCGTAGGATGGGACCTTCCAGAAGCGTTGAGCTGACTCATATCAAGCGGTCTTGACGTTTCAGAATCGAGTGGGCTAGTTATTCAATAATCGTTTTGAAGCGCGCACTGATAGGCTTTCACCCTTCCGCGTGCCATCATGGCCATGCGCTTGCTGCTCCAGCACGCCACCCCCCTTGCGCCGTTTCCTCTTGCGCCAGCGCACGCCACGCGCGCGCGGAGAACCATCGGCGCAAGCAGCCTACTCGCGCAGGGAAGAGCTCCGCGCGCCGATGCGCGAAGCCTCAGAAGCAGCGGATCATCTGTGTTCGGCGTTCCCCGCGCGCTTGGTTGCGCCAGGAGCATTTCTGAGGCGCCTGAAAATAGGCGCAATGCGACCCCTGCAAGCAAAGCCGTCCGCGGACCAGTCCGCGCGGAGGCTTCCCGCTGACGCTGGCAGAGGCCGGCAGAGAGGGCCAGCGCGCGGAAGCGGAGTGGCGGAACGAGGCGGAGACTGGAAAAGGCCGGGGGGAAGGAACGAGAAAGCATCGGGTGACTTTGGCTGCGATGGTATGATTTCTGTTGGGGAGAAAAAGCATTGCATTTGGTGTACGTGTCAGGTGTGTATATTCTGTGCAATGTGGCTCTGATATGCCTTCGTACGTGCAACTTGGTTGTAAGATGTGACATTGCAAGGAATGCGGCTAGATTTTTTTACATTGCAATGCAGGCATGTATTGCGTGCAATGCGGCTCTGGACAGCTACATTGCGAGCGATGGGACCGAAAAACCAGGTGGTATCTGGTGCAACGTCACTTGGGTAACGCACTCTAGGGACAGCCCCTCTCTCTGCCCTCTTCCCCTCCAGCCATCCCCCCTCCGACCTCTGATTTTAGCAGCAGCGCTGGCGGTAGCAGCAGCAGCAGCAGCGCTCTTGATGTAAAGCCTCGTTTCTCCCAATGCGTTCTTCTTCGTTCCTCTCTCCTTTCCCCCCCCTCTGTTTGTCCAGCCGTCCTCCCTCCGACCTCTGGTTCTAGCAGCAGCGCTGGTGGCAGCATCAGCAGCAGCGCTGCTAGGATGGAGCCCTCTTCGCCCCACTGCCTGTCTGCCTCCGCCTGCTGCCGCTTCTGCTGTTCAGGTGAGTTTGAGTCGCTGCTGCTGTTCAGGTGAGTTTGAGTCTCTGCTGCTGTTCAGGTGAGTTTGAGTCTCTGCTGCTGTTCAGGTGAGCTTGAGTCTCTGCTGCTGTTCAGGTGAGCTTGAGTCTCTGCTGCTGTTCAGGTGAGTTTGAGTCTCTGCTGCTGTTCAGGTGAGTTTGAGTCTCTGCTGCTGTTCAGGCGAGTTTGAGTCTCTGCTGCTGTTCAGGTGAGCTTGAGTCTCTGCTGCTACTGCTGTTTCTGTTCAAGTAAGTTGTTGCCGCTGCCGCTACCGCACTGTTGGATTGGCTTTAATATCAAGGAGCTTGGTGATGCCTACAGGTCCGTGTTCTAGCCACAGCAAAGGCATGCCTAGGCGTATGCAGCTCTCCATGCTACCAACTCGCCACCCACCCTACCGCCAATTCGCCCTTCGGCCCCAATACATACACCACCTTTTCACTCCTCCTTCAAGCACGTTTTGGTCACTCACATCACATCCCTGTAGGCATCCGAGGGGCCAAGCTTTGGCTCCAGCTTCAGAACCCGTGTACTCACGCTCGTTCTGGTCACATCCCGGTTTGGGATCCGAGAACCCTTGCACTCACGCACCTCTCTCCTACTGTCCTTCCATGCCCCTCCCCCCTCCCAAAACGCATCCCCCCGGCTCCCACCCCCAAACCACCCGCCCAACCGCACTATTCTTCTTCAGATCCCTCTTTGCGTGCCTGAAGCCAATCCTCTCGCCTGTCCCGCTCGCTCGCCTGCTCTATTGGCTGCACGCTGGACAACCTCTTTGCCGCTGCGGAACCCATCGCACAATACTGTCCCTCTTCCCTCATCCAACGCACCTCTCACTAACTCCCCTCGGCAGATCCCTCTAGGCATGCGAGAGGCCAAGCCCCCCCAGGCGCCTGTCTAAACGAGCGCATCTCCTCTATTGCCTGCACGCCGGACAACCTCTTTGCCGCTGCGGAACCCATCGCACAAGTCTGACTCTCCTCCCTTGTTCAACCCCCCACTCCTCAGATCCCTCTAGGCGCGCCTGAGGCCAAGCCTCTCGGTCGGCTGTCCAAGCGAGCCCGCCTGCTGTACTGGCTGGACAACCTCTTCGCCACTGAGCCCAACAGCAAGGTGCGTTGTCTGCTGCCACGCGTGTGCATCCCATCGTGCTATCTGCTGCTGCCATACCCGTGCATGCTAGCTTGCTGTCTGCTCTTCCACTCGCCTGTCCAAGCCAAGAAGGCTCGCCTGCTCGCCTCTACTGGCCCTGGTTGTTGTTTCCGTGACCCTCGCGCCGCTAGCCGTTTGCACGGGAGGGCTGGAATTCAAGGGCAGCAGCAGTATTGCAGTTTTGGGAGTGGTGTTGGGTGGTGGATTTGCTTTCACATCGTTCTACAACCCCTTCAGCCCCTTCGTTCTTCTTCCCCCAGGCCCTCACGCTGCTGGCCATCTGCATGCTGCTGACTGCGGTGGGAGGGCTGCTCTACAAGGCAGCAGCGGTGGCGTCCAATGACGACTTGCCACTGGGCGAGTCCGTATGGGTGTCATGGACGTTCGTCTCGAACCCCAGCGAGCACGTCAATGAGGTGGGCCCCACAGTGAGAGAGCAGGTAAATGAGATGGGCCCCACAGAAAAGAGCAAGGGAATGAGGTGGGCCCCACACATAGAGAGCAGTTGAATGAGGTGGGCCCCACGGAGGGCAGGTGAACGAGGTAACCCCACACAGAGGGAGCAGGGGAATGATATGGAACCCGTTGGACGGTGGACGGCGTCCACCGGCGGGCGGTGGACGGTGGACGGTGGACGGTGGACGGTGGACGGCGTCCACTGGCGGGCGGTGGACGGTGGACCGTGGACCGTGGACGGCGTCCACCAGCGGGCGGTGGACGGTAGACGGTGGATGGCGTCCACCGAGGGGCGGTGGACAGTGGACGGTGGACGGTCGACGGCGTCCACCGGCGGGCGGTGGACGGTGGACAGCGTCCACCGGCGGGCGGTGGACGGTGGACGTTGGACGGTGGACGTTGGACGGTGGACGGTGGACGGTGGGCGTTGGACGGTGGACGGTGGACGTCGTCCTCCGGCGGGCGTTGGACGGTGGACGGTGGACGGTGGACAGTGGACGGTGGACGGTAGACGATGGACGGAGGACGGTGGACGGTGGACGGCGTCCACCGGCGGGCGGTGGGCGGTGGGCGGTGGGCGGTGGGCGGTGGGCGGTGGACGGTGGACGGTGGACGGTGTCCTCCAGCGGGCGGTGGACGGTGGATGGCGGACGGCGTCCACCGGGGGGCGGAGGACTGTGGACGGTGGATGGCGTCCACCGGGCGGGCGGTGGACGGTGGACGGTGGACGTTGGACGGTGGACGGCGTCCACCGGCGGGCGGTGAACGGTGGACGGTGGACGGCGTCCACCGGCGGGTGGTGGACGGTGGACGGTGGACGGCGTCCACCGGTGGGCGGTGGACGATGGACGGTGGAAAGCGTCCACCAGCGGGCAGTGGACGATGGATGGCGTCCACCGAGGGGCGGTGGACAGTGGACGATGGACGACGTCTACCGAGGGGCGGTGGACAGTGGACGGTGGACGTTGGACGGTGGACGGCGTCCACCGGCGGGCGCTGGACGGTGGATGTTGGACGGTGGATGGCGTCCACCGGTGGGCGGTGGACGGTGGACGTCGTCCTCCGGCGGGCGTTGGACGGTGGACGGTGGACGGTGGACAGTAGACGGTGGACGGTAGACGATGGACGGAGGACAGTGGACGGTGGACAGTGTCCACCGGCGGGCGGTGGGCGGTGGGCGGTGGACGGTGGACGGTGGACGGTGTCCTCCGGTGGATGGTGGATGTCATCCTCCGGTGGGCGGTGGACGGTGGACGGTGGACGGCGTCCACCGGGGGGCGGGGGACGGTGGACGGTGGACGTTGGATGGTGGACGGCGTCCACCGGCGGGCGGTGAACAGTGGACGGTGGACGGCGTCCACCGGCGGGCGGCGGACGGTGGACGGTGGACGGCGTCCACTGGCAGGCGGTGGACGGTGGATGTCGTCCAGCGGAGGGTGGTGGACGGTGGACGGCGTCCACTGCTGGACGGTGGACGGTGGACAGTGAACGGCGTCCACCGGCGGGCGGTGAACGGTGGACGGTGAATGGCGTCCACCGCCGGGTGGTGGATGGTGGACGATGGACGGTGGACGGCGTCCACCGGCGGGCGGTGGGTGGTGGACGGCTATGTTGGAATATACGCGTATTGTGTTTTATACGCTAGCGTATATACACTATACGCAGGGGTTTGGGGACCAATACGGCAGGAATACGGCTGCTCGGGCAGGGGAAAAAAATTGCCCGGGCAGGCAAGAAAAACTGGCGGGCAGCCAGGAGAGGTCAAGGACCACATTCCCCCCCACACACCACATCCCAGCAAAACTGCCCTAGCCATTCTCCCAGAGATGGTGCTTCAGATCTGAAGTATGGTGGGAATGGGGGGGACGACAAACACGGGATGCCTTCCATCCACGTCCACACCTGGTGAGAGGGTGGGCGAAAAAGCGTGGACGAAGATTTGAGATTTCGCAATGTCGCGAGCTCGCCGAAAAAAAAATGATTTTATTTATTTTTTTCGCTGGGCAGCCCGGGTATCGCGTATCGCGTATTCCAAGCGTATCAGCGTATTGCGTATATTCACTAGCGTATATACGCTATACGCTAAGCCTTCTCAGCGAATTTTCCAACATAGGTGGACGGTGGACGATGGACGGCGTCCACCGGCGGGCGGTGGACGGTGGATGGCGTCCACCGGGGGACGATGGATGACGTCCACTGGGGGGCGGTGGACAGTGGACAGCGTCTACCGGCAGGCGGTGGATGGTGGACGGTGGACAACGTCCACCGGCGGGCGGAGGACGGTAGATGGCGTCCACCGGTGGGCAGTGGACGGAGGGCGGTGGACGGTGGGCGGTGGACGGTGGGCGGTGGACGGTGGGCGGTGGACGGTGGACGGTGGGCTGTGGGCGGTGGGCGGTGGACGGTGGGCGGTGGACGGTGGGCGGTGGGCGGTGGGCGGTGGGCGGTGGGCGGTGAGCGGTGGCCGGTGGCGGTGGACGGTGGCCGGTGGCCAGTGGGCGGTGGCCGGTGGCCGGTGGGCGGTGGGCGGTGGACGGTGGGCGGTGGCCGGTGGCCGGTGGGCGGTGGCCGGTGGACGGTGGGCGGTGGGCGGTGGGCGGTGGGCGGTGGGCGGTGGGCGGTGGGCGGTGGGCGGTGGGCGGTGGGCGGTGGGCGGTGGGCGGTGGACGGTGGGCGGTGGAGGGTGGGCGGTGGACGGTGGGCGGTGGACGGTGGACGGTGGACGGTGGGCGGTGGACGGTGGGCGGTGGACGGTGGACGGTGGGCGGTGGACGGTGGGCGGTGGACGGTGGGCGGTGGACGGTGGGCGGTGGACGGTGGGCGGTGGACGGTGGGCGGTGGACGGTGGGTGGTGGGCGGTGGATGGTGGGCGGTGGGCGGTGGACGGTGGGCTGTGGGCGGTGGGCGGTGGGCGGTGGGCGGTGGACGGTGGGCGGTGGACGGTGGGCGGTGGGCGGTGGCCGGTGGGCGGTGGGCGGTGGCCGGTGGGTGGTGTGCGGTGGGCGGTGGGCGGTGGGCGGTGGGCGGTGGCGGTGCTGGTGGACGGTGGCCGGTGGACGGTGGGCGGTGGGCGGTGGGCGGTGGGCGGTGGGCGGTGGACGGTGGGCGGTGGACGGTGGGCGGTGGGCGGTGGACGGTGGGCGGTGGGCGGTGGGCGGTGGGCGGTGGGCGGTGGGCGGTGGGCTGTGGGCTGTGGGCGGTGGGCGGTGGGCGGTGGACGGTGGGCGGTGGGCGGTGGGCGGTGGGCGGTGGGCGCGGTGGGCGGTGGGCGGTGGGCGGTGGGCGGTGGGCGGTGGGCGGTGGGCGGTGGGCGGTGGGCGGTGGGCGGTGGGCGGTGGACGGTGGGCGGTGGAGGGTGGGCGGTGGACGGTGGGCGGTGGACGGTGGGCGGTGGACGGTGGACGGTGGGCGGTGGACGGTGGGCGGTGGACGGTGGGCGGTGGACGGTGGGCGGTGGACGGTGGGGCGGTGGACGGTGGACGGTGGGCTGTGGGGCGGTGGGCGGTGGGCGGTGGGCGGTGGACGGTGGGCGGTGGGCGGTGGACGGTGGGCGGTGGGCGGTGGCCGGTGGGCGGTGGGCGGTGGCCGGTGGATGGTGGGCGGTGGGCGGTGGACGGTGGGCTGTGGGCGGTGGGCGGTGGGCGGTGGGCGGTGGACGGTGGGCGGTGGGCGGTGGACGGTGGGCGGTGGCCGGTGGCCGGTGGCCGGTGGCCGGTGGCCGGTGGGTGGTGTGCGGTGGGCGGTGGGCGGTGGGCGGTGGGCGGTGGGCGGTGGCTGGTGGACGGTGGCCGGTGGACGGTGGGCGGTGGGCGGTGGGCGGTGGGCGGTGGGCGGTGGACGGTGGACGGTGGGCGGTGGACGGTGGGCGGTGGGCGGTGGGCGGTGGGCGGTGGGCGGTGGGCGGTGGGCGGTGGGCGGTGGGCGTGGGTGGGCTGTGGGCGGTGGGCGGTGGGCGGTGGGCGGTGGGCGGTGGGCGGTGGGCGGTGGGCGGTGGGCGGTGGGCGGTGGCGGTGGGCGGTGGGCGGTGGGCGGTGGGCGGTGGGCGGTGGGCGGTGGGCGGTGGGCGGTGGGGGTGGGCGGTGGGCGGTGGGCGGTGGGGGTGGGCGGTGGCGGTGGGCGGTGGGCGGTGGACGGTGGACGGTGGGCGGTGGGCGGTGGACGGTGGGCGGTGGACGGTGGACGGTGGGCGGTGGACGGTGGGCGGTGGACGGTGGGCGGTGGACGGTGGGCGGTGGACGGTGGGCGGTGGACGGTGGGTGGTGGGCGGTGGATGGTGGGCGGTGGGCGGTGGACGGTGGGCGGTGGGCGGTGGGCGGTGGGCGGTGGGCGGTGGACGGTGGGCGGTGGACGGTGGGCGGTGGCCGGTGGGCGGTGGCCGGTGGGCGGTGGCCGGTGGGTGGTGTGCGGTGGGCGGTGGGCGGTGGGCGGTGGCCGGTGGCCGGTGGCCGGTGGACGGTGGCCGGTGGACGGTGGGCGGTGGGCGGTGGGCGGTGGGCGGTGGGCGGTGGGCGGTGGGACGGTGGACGGTGGGCGGTGGACGGTGGGCGGTGGGCGGTGGACGGTGGGCGGTGGGCGGTGGGCGGTGGCGGTGGGCGGTGGGCGGTGGCGGTGGGCGGTTGACGGTGGGCGGTGGGCGGTGGGCGGTGGGCGGTGGGCGGTGGGCGGTGGGCGGTGGGCGGTGGGCGGTGGGCGGTGGGCGGTGGACGGTGGACGGTGGACGGTGGGCGGTGGGCGGTGGCGGTGGGCGGTGGGCGGTGGGCGGTGGGCGGTGGGCGGTGGGCGGTGGGCGGTGGGCGGTGGACGGTGGGCGGTGGGCGGTGGGCGGTGGGCGGTGGGCGGTGGGCGGTGGACGGTGGCCGGTGGCCGGTGGCCGGTGGCGGTGGGCGGTGGGCGGTGGGCGGTGGGCGGTGGGCGGTGGGCGGTGGGCGGTGGACGGTGGACGGTGGAGGGTGGGCGGTGG